ACGCCAACAAGGTGCGGCGCTACATGGCAATCCACGGCGAGGTGGAGCTCGCGCACGGCAAGAAGATGAAGCTGGAGAGCAAGCAGGTGCGGCGCGCGGGGGCTCGCTGGGCACCGTGACGGCCGCACGCTTTGGCCCCGGGGGGTGCGGCTCCCCTGAGCGCGTGGGGACGCCTCGCCGGCAGCACTCTCGGCACTGTCCCTCACGTCAGCCCCTGGCCCGGCCCTCGGCGCCTCGGGGCAGCGTGGTGGTGGTGGTCGGGCCAGGCGAGGGGGGCTCTAGAGCTGCCCCGCGGAGGCGCCAGCCGCCTGCCCTGAGCTCACGCCTTGAGCTGCCCGCTGTCTTGGTCTCGTCCGATGCGCAAACCTCAGTGTTCTTCTTGCAAACAGGAGAGCAGCAACGGCGAAGACAGGAACAAGTGCTGTGCCATCTGTAACATGACCTTTTCCTCTCCTGTTGTGGCCATGTCTCACTATCTAGGCAAGACACATGCCAAGAACCTGAAGCTGAAGCAGCAAGCCCCCAAAGCGGAAGGTACGGTGGGCCAGAGCACTGCTGAGGGGGCTGGGTGGGCACGGCCAAGCCAGGAGCCTTCCCCTCCAGCTCGCCCCAGGGTCCGTGCGTCTTGCGGCCCGGAGGCTTTGGGGCGTCCGGTGCTCCGTGAAGCCTTCTGATGGCACAAGCTGTCAGAAGTCGGGAGCCTTGTGGGCCAGCAAGACTCCGCTCCCTCTCTGCGCCTGGCCCTCATGGCTTGGCCAGAGCTTTCCCAGGAGGAGGAGTCATCGTGCAGAGCAACCAGATGGCCCAGGTCTTGTGCTTGTTGTGTCCTGGGAGAGAGCTGACTTTGCCAGCTCGTCCCCTCGCATTTGGGGCCTGGCCTTGGATCACCCGAGCAGAGGTAGAAAGGGATGCTGGCAGGGCCCATGGTGCATGGAGGGAACCCTTGAGGGTGCGGAGGCATGAGGTTTTACACCCAACCTCTGTTCTCTCTCGGAGCTGCCTGCTGAACAGCTGCTCTGTCTCCATCCCCCTCTCCTTTGCCCAGACCATGCTTGTGGCTGGAAGGCGACTTGTTCCCAGTGGCCTTTAAACATGCCTGTTGCTCGCTGCGGGGCCAGGTCTGTTGGAAGGAAGCTGCAGGTCTGACCCAGGAGAATCCCCTTGGCTGACTCGGAGGGGCACAGTGTGGCCATGCGAGTCTGACGTGGGGTGAGAGGAGGAGGCATGCAACCCCTGTACGGAGACTCTGGTCTGAGCTGCGCTGTGGGCATTCCCTGCCCCGGTAGCAGTGCCCGTGGGTACTGTTTAGTGTGGCGCAGCGGCTGTGCCAGCCATCGCTGACAGGGCTGGGCTTTGCTCCCCAGTTGCTACACCTTCACAGAAATGTCCCGCTCAGCTCCCTCCTGCCACAGTGCCCTCTAACGAGGAGACCAAGTGCACGGCTGACCCAGACAAGTTTTGCAGCCTCTGTCATGCTACCTTCAACAACCCACTCATGGCCAAGCAGCACTACACAGGCAAGAAGCACAGGAAGCAGGAGACCAAACTCAAGCTGATGGCGCACTATGGCCGTACTCCCGATGCTCCTGCCGCCACCTCTGCTGGTGAGTCCTTGCGAGCCGCGTCTGTGCCAGGGTTGGGGTAGGGACCTGTGGGCAGGCTGGGGACAGAATGGCCTGGAGAAAGACCTGCCTTGCACAGGGGAGTAGGATTGCCTGGTGGTTCTGTTAAAACCCCTCTTGCTGCTGGGTTTTGTGCCTGACGTAAGCCTCAGTTGGAGGCTGGTTTGCAGGTTGTCCATTTTGATGCCTGTTTCCCTTGCCTGCCTGGGTAACCTGAGCCCCTCAGTGCACTGAGCTCCCAGCTGAGGGGACCATTCCCAGTGCCAGCTGTGAAGATGCCACTTGATGCTGGAACGAGGCCCCAGGGAGGTGACCTGTGAGAAGAGGGAAAGCTGGGCTCGTGTACCCTTGCCACTCTGACCTGCGTGCGGGGACGGGTTTACAGAGTGCTTCCTGCCCCACTTTGCACTGGCAGTTCCACCACCAGTGGCCCAGCTCATGGGCAGATGTGAATAGGTTGGGTTTCAACACAGACAAGTGCAAGGTGATGCACCTGGGGAGGAACAACCGGCACCATACCTACAGATTGGGGAGCTCCCCTCTTGTCAGCACAGAGGCGGAAAAGGATGTTGGAGTCGTCATTGACTCCAAGATGAACATGGGTCGGCAGTGTG